TCAGTTTCCCTAAGTCAACTTTTTTAGCTCTGAGATATTCAGATCTTCTGATTCTACAAGAACTGCTGACTTCACTGAGTTCAGGGTAAGCGGCAGCACAATAAGCCCTGACTAATGGAATGCAGAAACCATGATCCACCAGGAGGAAAGCAGGAACTGTTCAATTCAATTAAATCCTATTTAGTTTATTTCTATAGAGCCAAATCACATCATGTCATTTCAGATCACTTTACAGAGACAATTCAACCAGATCATACAGTCAGATTTTCTATCTAAGGAAAACCAGAGGCAAAACATTCCTACTTAAATAAGGTAAAAAGTATTTGTACTTTGTTCCTTGACGCCTCTAGTTAAAGTTGAGGTCGTACATAATCTGATCTACTCGGTGGTGATCTACTGTAACAGTCTAACGTTGAATCTCTGTCAGTTTAAAAACATCCATTTAATAAGAAAAATTGAGTTTGCAAAAAATAGATTTTCAAAAATCTCTGGATGTAGATGTAAAAATCCTTCCAATCATATTGAGCTTTTGCTCTCCAACATGTTCGGACTCCTGAAGGACATCTTGTTTCCTCCTCTAAGCTCTAATGTGCTACAGAAGAGACTCCAGCTACGACCACAGCTGTTTCTTTTAGGAGTGAACTTGTCTCAGGATAACATCCTGTGTATGCGAGTTCCCTGGAAACCTATTCTCACTGATCCCACTCGCCTTTGTGAGTTTGTTTGTTTATTTGAAGTAAACAGATTTTTCACTGCTTTATTTACAAACCGATGTTTAATTACTATCTCAGACCCGTTGTGGTCATCGTGTCCCGATAAGGAATGAAAGCTTGGGTTTAGTGGTGGCTCAGATGGAGCTGATCTGATTCCCCAGGAGAGCCTGAGTCTGAGCAGCTCCTTACGGTTTTGTGACTGGATGCAGAAGACGCCACGGTTAGTCTCCTTCTGAACAGATGCCTGCAGCTGGGAGTAACCGTCCATGGTGGTCCTCAGGGAGTAGCGGGCCACCTCCTGGCTGCACAGCCAATGGCTGCCGCTATAAAAGATGACAGGCAGAAATGTCAGTTTGATGTCCTGTTAAAAACCCAGATATTAAACAAACCGCTGTGTTTTTAACTAAGGTCATTTAAGAACC